ATGTATTCATTTAATACGTCTTTTCTTGTGCAATATATAGAGGATCTGACACTAGTGTTCATGCTATATTGAATTTATTGAACGAGTTTATTAATTTCATATGAAATTATTTAAGGAGTATGATAAATTCAATATTACATGAACACGAGTGTCTGATTTTATTTATTATATAATTCGAGAAACACTATTTTTCTTAACACGTCTCCTCTATATACGTTGTACCGATGGCTGACGAAAGGACGCATTACATGCATTTTGTTTGGAGCTCACTGCGCCACAAAAAAAAAGTGTCAGAAACTTCTTCCCGAGAACCTTTTAACTGAACAAACAATTATTTAGGTTTTCACCATGAACCAATGTTTTAATAATTATCATAACAGCATCAATAATCATTTTTATAAGAAAATCATTCAACGAATTGGCGTTTACGAAAATAGCAGTGACGTCACACATTTGGCACAACGGCGCGTGCACTGTCAAGGTAAAGGTCATCACAATACACATCGAAGTCTGCACTTTTTAAAAGTTTACAGGGACTGGAGTGATTATCTCTCTCTATAACACAAGAGCAGTTGTAGTGCGTAAGAATATGACCTGTTTGCCACGGTGACAAGACTCATTTGCACATTTATTGTACGTGTGCTATATCGTTTTTATTGGACGGCAACATTGCACGAAAATAGCCCGTATTTTATAATAAGTTAAGCTATTGACAGGAATGGCCTTATATACGGTTCATAATACTATGAATAAAATGATCACCTGCACCCATCGCAACACTTTGAACGTCTATGTTTTCTCTCTCTTTTTTTTACTGGCGGTGTCCCCATAGGTTTGTTAAAAGCTTGTTAAGAATAATGTAATCAGTTGGAGCGTCATGCCACAAGGTCCAGGCTATGTAATCTAAAAAGCATCTACAGAATGACAAAGTGTGAAATTTAGCTTAATTCGAACTAACCATCGATAAAATGAACCTTGGCAAGCTGCATGCATAGACCAAGGAAAGGTTTACATGACGTCTGTATCGTACACAGAACTCGCCAAATATATCTACGTCACATTCAAGTAATGTTATGTCCCAAAAAAACAGAGTAAAGTATCTTGCTCAAAGATACAACGCAGTGCCGTTCCGTGACTCGAACATGCAACCTTTCTGCCACGAGCCCGGCGTCCTACCACTAGACTACCGTGCCTCCTATACATCTACCTTCATATTGCACAAGTAGATGATATATTTGCCAATGAAATAATGATGCAACCATGACATTTGCCATTAGCCTTCATCCTAAATCTTTGGAAACATTGCGCTTTAAGGTCGTTAACAGTCGATATATAACACACAGGTCGTGATATTCGGAATAAGCCTTTAAGGTGGACTTTGAATGGCGCCATAATAAGTTTATATCATCACCGTCTTGATCATATGACCTTAGCTATTGCTATAGTGACCTTCATTATAGTGCGAAACGAAAAGTTTGGTATATAATCATCTTTATATGAAACATAACTGACGTGAAAACTGTTAGATTCAACATATTCAGAAAAATGTTTGCAGGCCACAATTATGCTTTTACAAAACTTTGAATGTAAAAAATAACGATTCAGATAATCATTCCAATACATTTTCATATATCTTTTAGAAACACAGTACAGGAAATTCTATAGATGTGTTTAATGTTTAATAAACACTTTTAAGCGAATACTATTTCTTCAAAGTGCATGGCTTTCACTTAATTAATCGTTGTCGCGCAACATTGATAATTATGTAGTTATTAAGATCGCACTTCCGGTGGGCATGAGGTGATTTTCGTTTTTATATCAATATAAAAGGGGAGACAACCATCAATGTTATTAAAAGTATTGTTGTTAATACAAGTTGCTTTGTTAAAACGATATAATATGTACCCTTGCAATTTTAGAAAACAGGAGCATTACATGTTTTGGTACAGCTTTAACCTAGGTCTAGGTATTTGACATCAATTGATGGCAGTAGAAACAAATAACTATATTAAGAACACATCGTCAGCAGCGTCATATCAAAGGGAGCTAAGGCATCTATGGACATTGTACACATCCCATGGTCATATATTTACCAGACGAACATGTACGATGGATTATCCAAATTGAAATAAGGCGATACCATGCAAAACAAAAGAATTATCTTTTCCTTAAGGCGATTGAAAAGGTACAAAGAGAGGCACATGTCTATGTTTTGTTCCTGTATACGCCTGTGTACTCAATGACATGTTTTGTTCCTGTATACGCCTGTGTACCCAATGATATGTTTTGTTCCTGTATACGCCTGTGTACCCAATCGTATGTTTTGTTCCTGTATACGCCTGTGTACCCAATGATATGTGTTGTTCCTGTATACGCCTGTGTACCCAATGATATGTGTTGTTCCTGTATGCGTCTGTGTACCCAATGGTATGTTTTGTTCATGTATACGCCTGTGTACCCAATGATATGTTTTGTTCATGTATACGCCTGTGTACCCAATGGTATGTTTTGTTCATGTATACGTCTGTGTACCCAATGTTATGTTTTGTTCCTGTATACGCCTGTGTACCCAATGTTATGTTTTGTTCATGTATACGCCTGTGTACCCAATGTTATGTTTTGTTCCTGTATGCGTCTGTGTACCCAATGATATGTTTTGTTCATGTATACGCCTGTGTACCCAATGGTATGGTTTGTTCATGTATACGCCTGAGTACCCAATGACATGTTTTGGTCCTGTATACGCCTGTGTATCCAATCGTATGTTTTGTTCCTGTATTCGCCTGTGTACCCAATGTTGTGTTTTGTTCCTGTATGCGTCTGTGTACCCAATGATATGTGTTGTTCCTGTATGCGTCTGTGTTCCCAATGATATGTTTTGTTCATTTATACGCCTGTGTACCCAATCGTATGTTTTGTTCCTGTATACGCCTATGTTCCCAATGGAACGGTGATGATTGTCTTTTTCTATTACAGTAAATCCTGCCACAAATACAACCAAGCAACTACGTTGTAGCAATCGACTAAGATAAATTACTAAAAGTTTTAAACAGCAGAATGACGATCCTTCTTAGCATTCGGTTAATTCCAAACCTTCAAATGGTTAGAAAGCCAACATTTATCACTTACGCTTGACGTTTTATTCATGACTTCACAACGCTCATATTGCAAGCCATATCAAATTCGGTTCCGATGACGTCACAGTAGCTCTATTTAAACTATAAATAGAATCGTCGTTTAAATAATGGTGTTGGAGCTTTCCGGCCGGGACAGAGAAGATTCATTGATATGTATTGGATGTGGAAATTGGTTTACCATCTAAGGCATAAAAACATAAATACTTCAATGAGCGTGCGCACGTGCGTGATGTTCGTTTCTATTTGTATGTTGGTTTTCGTTGGAGATCAACTAACTTCATTATGTAAATAGTTTTTACAAACTAGTGCAACAAGCATATGAAAACGAGACCATACATTTCAGGGCTTGGTAAATACACATAGCTGTAAATAAGTTGATTCAAAGTTTATAATGATAAAACATTGTGAGTGTAAAATAACTACAATCTCATTTTGTCGATGCTTAATCAATACTAGGTCAAGGACAAGAACAGTAGTTTAGAAGTTAACAGCTTTTATTGGGCATTCAAATGAAATTTCAAATGGAAATTGATTTCATAAAAGCGTACCTTTGGCCAAATTAAATAAAAAAGATTCAATACTGTATTTCAACATTAATTACATCAAAAGAAAACATTTTAAAAGACAACTTCGTTATTATTTACTTTTCATATTTTGATTCTTTAACTCAATAAAATACAAACAAATATATTCATTAGTGGTATTTAGCATCAATATTGTGACGTCATAATTGTAACTTATATGAATATCAACTAATTTGTGAAGGTGTCCAGGCTCTGTGCATGGTTAAAAGTTCATTATACAAGAACAATCAACAACACAGTAATGGACAAAATATTATCACAGCTCAATTGACATCAATAACAATTCAGTTAAAATATCATACTTTTATAAATAATTACGATTCTTGTACGAATCATGTTTATATAACCACATATTCACCTCAATAAAAGTCTATAACTGATAAATAAGGAAACCGTAACATTTCCTCTGAACAGGCTTTTTTCTTTGATACATCTGTCGCTAACTAATAGCCAGAAAAGAGAGAACCGGACGACGCTATACAATGGTTCTTTAGCAGGTCAATACTGTTCATTATCAGAAATATGGTCGTTAATGAAGAATGTTAATTGTTGGTATTTGTTTTCATTACCCTAACTAGAGCAATACCGCGATATTATTTATCATTTCCGATATTTCAAACATACACACTACTTTGTAATATCTTTTCATCTGTTTATATCCGCTATTAATGGGTACACCGGCTTTGTAAATCTATCAATTTTTCAAAAGATGATTAGAATGTTTTGTCCGTCATTAAGGTCAGGGCAATATTGTGATGTCGAGCATCAAAGTCCTGTAGCGTTTGAAGTGTCCGTGAGGATTGCTAGTTAGAGACGTTCACATTGCTATCGTTTTTACACGAGTGGTTTTGTACTTAAAATGGCAGATTGTATTAAAGTCCATCCTGTTCATATTTTTATTACTTTTGAAGTCATAACTAGATATATTTCAATTTATTTTGTTATCCGATGAAATCGTTACGTTACAACTTTGTTCCGTGAAACGGAACATTATTGCGCTTATTTACTGTTAACTGATCCAGTCGTATGCAATTAAAACATTTTGTTAGATTTGCAATCAGGTTTCTTTTATTACGCAATGTAATAAACACTTATTATGCTTTTTCAGAGTACCTCCTTACTTACTCAAAAATCTGTCTTTATTCCTTGCCCATTTCACCATCCCAAAGACAAATACACAACAGGTAGTGTCTGTGATATACTTGACCGATATATATACACTTGATTTAGCGCGTCATTTCATTATGATCAAAATGACATATTTTCTCTTATATTTCAGGTATGGAATGGCCGTAGCGCAAAACCACACGTACGCAGTATTTCCTTACATCAGGTATGTTGATTAAAACTAGTGTAGATATATCACCGAAAACGATTATATCGTGTGCTACATTAAGTATGCCGCCCTATTTAACTAGAACAAGCCTTTTTAAATCTCTTTACATTCCATGGATATACTACTATTAATAATAATAATAGTTCGATGCTCTTATATACCGCTTTGTCACAACCTAGTTCCTTGGTCGTCTCTAAACGGTTGACAAATCATTATTATAATCCCTATACAATCAAACCATATCCGAGAAGGCGACTCAGAGACCAGCATTTGCTCGCTGTACATTGCAATGCTCATGACTTAATATTTTTTCTGAACTGTTGCTGTTACTTTTCTTGATGTCTCTCTTACCAGACTTGAGTATTATGACATCAGTACTACACAAACAACAAATGTAAAATTGTAGATAGTCAAAAAGGATTTCGACACCCATTTTTTAGCTCACCTGGCACGAAGTGCCAAGTGAGCTTATGCCGTGGCGCGGCGTCCGTCGTCCGTCCGTCCGTCCTCGTCCGTCAACTTTTCCTTTAAACAACTTCTTCTGAAGAACTGACAGGCCTAGAGTCATGTTATTTAGCTGAAAGCTTCGTTGGTAGGAGCCCGACAAAGTTTGAGAACGAAAATGACCTTGACCTGTTTTTAAGGTCACAGAGGTCAAATATATCAAAAACTTCAAAAGACTTCTTCTGAAGAATTCAAAGGTATAGAATCTTCATATTTGGCTGATGGCTTCCTGGGATAGAGCCCAACAAAGTTTGAGAATGAAAATTACCTTGACCTTCTTTCAAGGTCACAGGAGTCAAATGTGTCAGACACTTCAAACGACTTCTTCTGAAGAACTGAAAGGTATATAATCTTTTTATTTGGCTGGTGGCTTCCTATGGATAGAGCCCAACAAAGTTTGAGAATGAAAACTAGTTTGACCTACTTTCAAGGTCACTTGGGTCATATATGTCAAAAGCTTAAAATGACTTCTTCTGAAGAACTGAAAGGTATAGAATCTTTATTTTTGATTGATGGCTTCCTTGGATAGAGCCCGACAAAGTTTAAGAATGAAAATGGCCTTGACCTTCTTTCAAGGTCACAGGAGTCAAATGTGTCAAACACTTCAAACGACTTCTTCTGAAGAACTGAAAGGTATAGAGTCTCTATATTTGGCTTGTAGCTTCCTAGGAAAGAGCCAAACAAAGTTTTCGAATGAAAACGACCTTGACCTACTTTCAAGGTCACAACGTTCAAATATGTCAAACAGTTCAAACAGCTTCTTTTGAAGAATTAAAAGGCATAAAATTATAATATTTGGCTGGTGACTTCCTGGGATAGAGCTCACCAAAGTTTGCAAATGAAAATGGTCTCAACTTACATTAGAGGTCACAGAGGTCAACAACATTTTAATGGATTTGTTCTTGAGAACTAAAAGGAACGGATTCATAAGATTTGCCTGGTAGCTTTTTGGAATAGAGCTAACCAATTTGAGAAGAAAAATGACATTGACCTACTTACAAGATCACAGGGAAAAATATGTCAAGCACCTTCTGAAGAAGAATAAAAAAGCATAGAATCTTATAATAATATGTTGCTGGTAGTTTCAACAGATGGAGCCAACAAAGTTTGCGAGGGAAATATTTTTAGTGCAATATGATATTTAATGAGAATATTTTGCCATGACTGCTTAAATATTCAGGTGAGCGATACAGGCCCTCTTGGGCCTCTTGTTCTATTTCTCAATCCGTATGCAGTTCGATAAGTTCTTCTTGTTTTTATTCACTAGAATACGCAGCATAAAATGATGAAGTTAATGTCAAAAAAGACAAATATTATGTCAGTATCATCAGCTTCGGGCGGTCATTATAGGGATATAAGATCACTATAATTGTGAAACTGATGGTAGATGATTGCTGTGACGTTGTGACGTGAGCTTGGGGTCCCAACGGTCAGCTGGTAATGTCTATAGTCACGCTACGAGGCCACCTAGAACTGACCTGATCACACACACGCTATACACAGAACCGGTGTAATTATTCGGTTCGGGAGACAGATGTAACAATTGGGTCATTTATAAATAGTCGTTCCTGATAAATTCATCCGACAAATACTTCTTTGAACACGCATCATTTAGGTGTTTGCACAGACGGCGGTGCCAATATATATGAATAATGTTTAACGTGACTGATGCGTGACCATTTTGTGTCGCCTGTGAAAAAGTGGAAGCGACATATAGGGGTCAAGTCGTCCGGGTCTTTGACCGCACAGAGGTCTCCTTGCGGTTACTCTTGAAGAAATGAAATGTTTTCGTGACACTTCCTACTAATGCATGAGAAGTATCAATTAATCGCACACACCTAGAATGCAGTATGGCCGCTAGTGGTCATCTTGAATTTTTTAGATTATTTTTGGAGGAATGCATTAATTTCCATGACACCTCCTAAACATTAAGTTTCCAAAGCAAGTGGTGGTTTGTATTTAGTGTATAGTTTTACAATTTGAATGTTATGTAGTGCGAGCTCGATAAACACGATCGCTAGCTATCAGAAGCTTGAGCGAGCTAGATAAACACGATCACTAGCTATCAGAAGCTTGAGCGAGCTAGATAAACACGGTCACTAGCTATCAGAAGTTTGAGCGAGCTAGATAAACACGATCACTAGCTATCAGAAGCTTGAGCGAGCTAAATAAACACGATCACTAGCTATCAGAAGCTTGAGTTTTTTTTCACACGCCTAGAAAGTCGTGATTTTTTCTTAAACGTGTTTCTGATACCGATAAGGAAAACAATGGCCAAACATTGTTATTTGATGCCAAAATTAAAAGTTAATTATGATTTGTAGCATATATCTCCAGACGAAAGCTTTTGAAATTTAAGAAATTATAAGGTGCTGATGACACTTGCTAGGTAAACTTACTACAAACTACTGATCGGCTATACATGTGCGTGTTTATTGAGGCTATTGCTATCTGATGGCTAGTTGTCTCTGGATGATATATTTTGATTGAAAAAGAATCGCGTTTCTATGAAATGTATCTACTTTAAGGTTGTACCAAAGTCCCTCTTTTGAGGTTGCTGCTAGGCAAAATTATCACATATTTAATCTAGAGTGATCTCATCTGCTTATTGTATTTTGAAGTAATTGTTATATTGCAATGAAACTTGCCAGGTGTATACAAGCAAGATAGTTACAAAATACAAACAAAGCCGTAAAAGTCGATTAAACTATGGCAAAAATGAAGAAAAATGATTGCCGGAGACCCTTGGGAAAGTGCAAGGAGATTATAGCGAGGTCTTCTGGAATGATTAGCCACTTCTTTTTCATCGATAACATTTAAATCTAGGTCAAATCCCAGAAAAGCTGCGTACTCAATATGAGAACTGGGAAATAGATCACGAATACTTTAACGAGGACACATCATCGAAGTGAACTTAAAGGTATTGACATGGTCTCTGACAACTATTTTGATAAAACGTCTACATCATCAGTCTTATACGAAAGCAAAAAGAAGTCAACTAAGAAGGACACAGTTTGTTCCCAAGGTAGTTTGCTCAAGCTGCGAACTGATAGAGCAGCAAATATATTGCGTTTTATACCTTCATCCTTGGTATATAAACCACAGCCAGCACGTCAGGTAAGCTAATGAAAGTGAAATATCCTCCTGGAATCTACCTTAGAATTATAAATGAACACTGACTAAAGTATTCAGTACAACCCCAAATACCAAAACATATTTACGCAAAACCAAAAACTTCTGCCAACATTTGGTACCCGAATTTTGAATTTCCTGCAAGAACTCAACATAAAATTGACGGACATAGCTGAATTTAACATATCTGATGTTCCTCCGTGGACCATTCAAACCCCTGATTTTAACTTTACATTACATGAGCGAGGGAAATCAAGTGTTATGCCCGAAGAACACAAATCCTCCTTTCGGGAATGCATTTCGAATTACCCTTCTCATACACAACTTTACACCGATGGCTCCAAAGAAGGTGAGAAAGTGGCAGCAGCCTGCTGTACTGCCAATACTTGCACTTCAGTCCGACTACCAGACGGCGCCTCCATCTTTTCTGCTGAAGCATGCGCCATTGGTTTGGCCCTCGACCATATCGATGAACACCGCATTAAAAAGGCAATTATTTGTTCAGACTCTCTATCTGTCCTACAGAGTTTACAGTTACGAGATCCTAAAAACACAATCGTACAAAACCTTGCTCTTCGAATATCTCGTATATTAAAAAAGTCTAAAATAACTTTACTATGGATTCCGAGCCATGTCGGAATAAAAGGCAACGAATTTGCTGACAGGGAAGCAAAAAATGCATTGAATCTCGAACAAACAAATATCAAACTACCATACACAGATTTTAAACCTACTATTCGTACAGCCATTCAAAATGAATGGCAGAAACGCTGGTCTCTGGAGACCAACAACAAACTTTTTAAGATACAACCGAAACTTAAAACATCTATTCCCAGTCGGAAAGATCGTAGCGAGGAAGTTGTCCTCGCTCGGCTCCGCACTGGGCACACATAGCCTACCCATTCGGCATTCGTACCTTTTAAAACGAGAAGATATACCTTCATACAACGCATGTGACACTCCATTTACAGTGGAGCATTTTTTAATAGAAAGTTCCGATTTTAAACACATTCGTGATAACTACTTCCGAGTCCCGGATATGAAAACACCTTTCAGTTCCGTGGATTCGAAGGCATTATTTAATTATTTGAAAGACATCGGTCTATTTTATAGACTCTGATGTCTTTTAACCCACCTTATCATTTTTGACGTTATATATATATCGCATATTTCATATCATCTATTCGTTATCTCTTTTATTATTTTAACCCCCTTTCATTATTTTTTATTATCTACACATACAATGCGAATACTTTTAAAATGAACCATTTTATCTGATTTTATCTTCGCTATTCACATGGTTGTTAATAAGTAAAACAAATAAATAAATCACCATGGCCCTAAATGACCACAGCCGTCGATTGGCCGTTAAACATAAACAAACAAACAAACAAACAAACAAAAAGTATTCAGTACAATGATGGGTCGAGGTTTAGCTTAATTATTCGGGCTTATGTCAAAAGAATATTTTAGATGAAATGAGTATAAATAAAGTATAAGTACAGGACATTAGAAGACGTTGTAACATATTAGATAAAGCAATGTAAATACTACAAGTATAGCAATGATTTGGTCTTATCAAAGCCGTAATAGCCGACTTCGAATAAGAATACGCGTACATGCATGATTGTCTTAGCTATGGTTGAACTCTACTGAGGAACAATAAGAAACCTATTATGTGTTCCCACATGAGCACTAATTTTGATCCCGGTGTGATATGATAGACAGGTTCACAGTAATAAGCTTTAGCAGGACATGGCTCTTGTTTCTGGTATCGACAACGAAAGCCTTTTAAAAACATGTTGCTAATCCTACACTGCATGTACAGTCTTCTGTTCTGTTACGTTTATTTGTAATCAATATCCTTGTCACAAGTGCCAGCGTCTCTCGTGGATATAAAATGAAAAACTTACACACACGAAACGACCCATTGATTTCTAGGAATATGTATGAGTTTTTAATGATTCCTGCACACGAAAATTACAAAAATGCGATAGGAGGAGAGGCCAACCATCATTTACAAAAACTGCTACACATGAATTTGTATTTGTTAAGGACCACGAAACGATCCGATAGATAACAATGACGACGCTATCGTGCTAACATGCTCATCTTTTACTGTTAGAAACCAACAACAAACTAAGGGAAACAAGGTTTAGTAACATTGTCTTATATGTGTTGCCGTCTACGTAACGATCAAGTACATGTTTTAAATAGTTGGTAAATTTTGAAATTCAGATAATTAAGGTGTTTTATGCACTCCCTTTGTATTTTAGCAGTAGTTTAGAAAGATTAGGAATTCCACCTCTTTTGTCCCTAGCTTCATCAATGAGGCATAAAAAGACAAACCTCTGTATATTGAAGTGTAATTCATTGTTTTAATGCTATTATACGTCTGTCTACCAAATGCAAAGATCAGTCATACATTGTTTATATGTTTCTTACGTTCATCTTAAAACAGGAGTAGTACGGAAATACGTTTTGTATTTTTTGTATAAGATGCGTATTTTATTCGACAATTTTGTTAACAAAGCCTGTTGAGGATTACACTACACTAACTGTTTAAAAAATAAAACATTGGAACTGTATTTGAATTCCACTGACAATGTAACAAGGTTTACACAAAATAATTGGAAGTATACAGTAAAACAGTAAACCAATCCAAACGGATAAGCAAAATAGTAAACAAATCCAAGTTGATTTAACATTGGCCATATAAAAACAATTTCATTTTGATATGACACTGAACATTTAGACATTAGCTAGGTAGGACTTAATCCTAGATTTTGTTCACGACCATGGGTTCTGTTGTCTTTTATTACTTTAACTGTTAAATTGACCTTTTGTATGACGTCCACTATACCAGGCACTTTGTGTGTTGCAGTAAGACGGGGACACAGGTGCCCGAGAGAGGGATCTTCACATTGTTTATATCCATTGGTGCCTTATCTAGTAAGTATAAGCAATGATTATCATACCGGATGTAATAATCCTCTAATAGTTTAGGTCAGAGCGTGCTGATAATTTCCCTTGGTCACGTTTAGGTTCGAGTGTAGTCAATGGAAAGGTGTATAACAACGCCTTGGTAACTGCGCAAACATTGCATGTACGATTGGTTTCAGCTGGCATTTTTTTCAGATTTACGAATCGAACTTTTCGAAGTGGTTGCAGCAGCCCAAGCCTTTTTCGATGATTTGTTGTTGAAGATTTAAATGTGAACTATTGTATTTTTTTTGACGAAGTAATTTCAGCATTTAGTATACACACAACACAGTTGTTTGTTATTGGCGTTCGGCATAATGATAGGTAATAGAAGACCCTATACAGGAATGTCAATTACCTCAGGCATTTTAGCGCCAACATGTAAGCGTCAAAGTCGCTAAAATCAAATCACTTGCAATATATATATATATATAGTACTGTATTGTACATGCATTAAGTAGGGCAGTGTCTTTGTTCTCCCCTCAGATATTGCTGTTACCCTTGACTTTGCCGAGTGTAACAGTAATACCCTCTAAGAGACTTTAGGCAGTCTTGTGTCGACAACACTTCCAGAAAGTAATATTCAGCTGTCATATGAACGAATGAAAACTGTTAATATGTTACAAGAAGAAATAACACGCACTGTCAGTATACAAAGTGTGGTTTAAAATTGTGTACTGTTAACAATATCACGTTCTTCCCCTTATTAGGATATTAACATCATCAACACACGATGAAGCGTTATAAACCGGTCTGTGTGTGTGATTCCCACAATATTGTCCAGGAACTGATTACAAAAAACAACAACTGATTTATTGATCAATTCAGTGAGTAACTGCACGATGTCACTCTATTTTAATATTGAATTATTATTGTATCGTGTGGCCATGCTATCGATGGAGAGGGAAGTAACTCATCAAAAAACAATAAATATTGGTAATTGAATTTGACAGAGTACATTCCAAACTTCCATACATCTGGTTTGTTGGAATGTCATAACTTCGGATGCAAGTCAACCTTTTATTGAATATCTTAGAAACGAAGTCAGACATACGATTTGATAGGGAATTCTGAAAATGAAACAATTCCGGAATAAATAAATTTCTAAGGAAATTGATATCAAATATTTTATTTTGTATTTTAAATTGTGAGATATGTATAATGACTTAATTTAAACATTGTTTTGTAATACAAAAAACAAATTGCTAGACGTTTATCATACAACCAATGCACACACAAATGGTATCGTCTGCATTTTTAGTTGCTTTGAACCATACATAAGTCTGCTTTGTTTTTTCACCTATGATAAAGCTAAGGTTGATGAATAGCTTTCCTAGTACCAAAACCAGCAGTAGTAATGCTTCAAAACTTACATGTAAGACCAATTACCAACAGATTTCACGAGATATGCGTGTTCAAAACAATGATTTGTTTTCACGTTTAGTTAAATAATAATAATCATAGAACGTTGATTTTATGAATGTTTTGTACGGACTTTTGTTTTGTGGAAACACGTTATTGCAGAAAATCGCGAAAACACCACAGATTCAAAATAGCGCTTTATGTAGTATATGGGCAAGACGCTGGCAAAGGTATAACTGGTGGGTATCTGTGGTGGCCGTCCGGGCGCTAATCGTCTATCACTTGACGCTAATCCCAGTATCAATCTCATTTGGTAAGTGGTTAGTGAGGTCGACCACGGCTGGACATCACCACTCCGGTAAATCATTCTACGCCACGGAAACTGTGCGGGAAATAGGACAGGCTGCATTAGCCAACGTGATATTTTAGTTACATGATCTATATTCAGACATTTCCAATTGATTTCTAATTTACCTTTTTTATCTATGGCCATGAACGCCAGGAAAGGGTGTAAACATGGCTAATTTAGGCCAAATTGATAGGACCAAAACATAACATGTGAGATATTGGATGAAATATAGAGAGGATCTGAGATGTGGCAGGATGTTTTTGTCGATTGTATGATGCAACGCATAAAAGTATATACACGGCTTCTCATATTCAGGTTGTTGAAACGATGTCCTGTTTTGAATTTCGGTGAATTATTTTTTTACATGTATCTTTGTTGAATAGAAACCATACAAAAGAGTTTTCCCAATATATCATTTAACAATTTTTGGAAGATCTCGACTCGCAAATTGTATACTTTCACCAGTTTCGTCATATATTTACAGTGCAGAGAATCAAACTATCTTCGAATTAGCCTCGCAATTGTGAAGAAGATTGTTCAAAATTTCTCAAAAAAAGTTTTATCATTTATTTTTATTGCATAATTCGCATATTTTTGTCATATCTACTTGTATAATGTAAATAGTGGTATATGACCTATCAGTTATGAAGTCGTAGTTGTCCAACTTTTAAGCTACAATTAAAACAATACATTTTATTCATAGTTTTAGTCTAGCGTCGTTGAAAACTTGACGGTCACAATTTTTTTTTTTTTTTTTTTTTTTTTTTTTTTTT